CTTATCTTTTCTTTCTTCTGTTTTCTAAAGATATTGCCCTTAGAATTGATCTTTTCCAATTTTTTTCAAAAAAAATTTTTTTCAAAAAATATTTAGATTTTTTTTTATTTTTAAGTAGTCTCTACACCTAGTGTAGAGCTCAAACCTACAACCCCGAGATCAAGAGTCACACACTCTACTGACTGAGCCAGCCAGATGCCCTTCCTCTTTGAGTTTTCTATGACACACTACTTTCTTCTTCTTAGGTTTTCTATACTTCTTTTTCATATGACTTTTATCTCTGTATTTTCTTTTTTTTTTTTATGCATAGAATTTATTGTTGTTGTTTCTTTTTTTTTTAATGTTTTATTTATTTTTAGGAGAGAGAGAGAGAGACAGCGTGAGCAGGGGAGGGTCAGAGAGAGAGAGAAGGAGTCACAGACTGAAACAGGCTCCAGGCTCTGAGCCGGCAGTCAGCACAGAGCCCGACGCGGGGCTCGAACCCACGAACCGTGAGATCATGACCCAAGCGAAAGTCGGACGCTTAACCGACTAAGCCACCCAGGCGCCCCACTCTGTATTTTCTTTTAATTCCATTTCATTTCTACATTTTATTTCTAGTCTTAATAGTGCTATTTTACGTTTTTAACACATACCCCAAGGATAAGATTGTTATATTTATCCTTATAGAGCTTATTGGGTTCCAGTGAAAAATCATGCACAATATGTGAGAATATTGAATATAATATGGTTGGATTATCAAAATTATAAGAGCAAAAATATAGGATCAATATTCCTGTAATTCAAAGGGTCCCAAAATTTAAAAAAAAACTCTCTTTTTTACATTCAGTGTGCATCACTAGTTCTGAGTCTGTGTCTTTAGATATTAGGGGAGTGCAAGGAAAGCAACTCTATGTTCATATTCTATAGCCAAGTAAGTAAATGGTGTTATATTTATTGTAAAAAGGTACATGTTAATAAACTCCACAGTTGCAGAGATTTCATTCTCAATCATGTTAATTTTATAAGCTTGCAGCACAAAATATAAATACTGTAGCTACCCTTAGAACCTCTAATAAAATCAAGTCTATTTTAAGCATCTTTATATTAATATGTTTGACCCAGAAAAACCTACTACAACATATCTGAAAAATTTCTAAGTACCCAAAGTCTTTCTGCCAACAGCATAAACACAGCTGCAATGTCAAATTTCTCAGTAGTGAAAATACTATTTTCCTGAGATACAATCTTGGAGACAGATGTTTGAGAAGAAATTTCCAATCTGTTATCATATATATCTTCATAAAAAGCTGACTGAACTGGCATCACTTCTTGTAGTAATATAAATAAATCTCTAGGAATTCCTACAGGGATTTCTTGCAGTAAACACATTGCAATTTAAATAATACATTTCATTAGTATTTTCTACAAGCATGCACATCTTATATCACTAGTATACTTAAATAACTCTTAAGGAACATATTTTATATGTTATATATTACTTGAAATTTTTCAGAATATACTTTTGAATTAATATGAATTCATGTTAATATGAATTAATAAATCAAAATAAATTTTGCTAACAAGCAAAACAAAATTATTTGCTTAACCAATGGTCAAGTGGATTATCTATAGCCAGAATGCCTGGATTCAAATTCTGGCTCTGAAACTTACTAGTTGTGTTATCTTGGATAAATTACTTACTCTGTGCCTCAGTTTTCACATCATGCAATGGGGCTAATAATAATGTATGTACTTAGGGCATTATTATGAGGGTCAAACAACTTAATACATGTGAAGCCCTTGGAAACTATGCATAGCACTTATAATATCAAAGACCTAACTGTTTTTCTGAGTTTGCTCAACACAATGACTAGAGACAGATTCATGGTTTCTAATATCATTTTTATAGCTTATACCTTCATAACAATAGATGAGTTATTTAACCTTTTCATATTTCAGTTTCCTCGCCTATAGAATGAAAATAATACTTACCTCATAAAATTATTGTGGGTTGATAAACATAAGACACTGTTATGCCCAGATCGCAATCTCCCCAAAATCCCAAAACCACCAAGGAGTCCGAGTCACGTATGCAAAGGCAAAGGGCTTTATTACAGGCTTAAGCTCGGGCTCCCAGACCTCACCAACGCAATGGATCCATGCTGATAGCCCCGAACAAGGGCAGAAGTAGGGTTTTTATGGGGTTTGTGACGGGGGAGTTACAGAAGTTGTGACATGGGAACAGTGATCCAATCATAATTATACAACATCATTGACAGCGGGTTTGACCATACACATTGTCTAGAGTATTCGTTACTTTTGGCGGGATCCAATTACAACATTTAGAGTACCTTTAAATTCAACCAATCACAGAGCGAGCCTAGGGTCTTACTCGGTGACTAACGGGTTAACTTTAACATTAGGTAACAGGGTCCTATCTATAGTTTCTATCTCCAGGCCTCTCCCCTAACAACGTGGAGGGTGGTCACTGGCCTTTCCTGATTGGGTGTTGCAAGGGTGGTTTCTCCTGCCTTGGGCAATGTGTAACTTCCTGATAGTTTCAGGGAAGCTGAAACTTAGGCCTTCTAGTTTAGAGGGGAAACTTAAAGCCTGTCATGGAGTCAGTTTGGTTTAGACATTTAGACTTGTGTCCTTATTATTTCCCCCTCTATCCTGTAACTGACCCAATCCTGGGTCAGTCGTATCTCCATCACTTTGGTCTAAAGGTTGATATTGGGCCTGTAAGACCATTAGTTGAAGGGTACCTAATCTTTGTTTTATATATTGGATAGCCAAGGTGAGTTGTTAAACCATGATTCAAACCATCCTTGGTTTTGTTCTCGTTCCCGCTTTCGTTTGGCTGGTCCCTCTCGAACTTTAGCTAAAGATTCTTTTATTACACCCGAATGGTCTGCGTAGAAACAGCATTCTTCTTTTAATGTTGCAGAGTCCTCCTTGTTGGAGGAATAGCAAGTCTAGCCCCCTTCTGTTTTGAAGTACTACTTCTGCCAGTGAAGTTAGGTACTCTTGTAAATGGGCAATGGAGTTTTCAAGCAATCTATTCAAATGACAAAATCTCAGATGGACATTGTTAATCAGAATATTACATGATAACCCTATACCAAAACATTAAAACTTTAGGATTTGCGTATATATTTAGGTAGTTATAGCATTTACCCATGCAATACAACCTAAGGTTTACTTTTGTACACAGTGCTTTTCCAAGTAATTTAGCATCTCAAATAAAGGGCCCTAATTGGCCAAAAGACCCTTTTTTACTATTCAAATCCTGGGAAGTTTGTTAAAACCTTAGGAAGTTATAAAGCGTATCCTAAATAGAATTACAGATCATTACAAATCTTAAAACTTTTTCTATTCAACCAAAGTGGCAATAAAAGATAGAAACCAACATTGGTTGGAGTAGCTCCTTCAACATTGAGAAGTTTTAACTGTACAAAGACCTGATAAAGATGAAACCTAAAGCTTTGGTTTTCTTGGCAGCAAAAGGAGAAAACCTTTGTTTACATTGTCTTATCAAGAGCAGATTTACAATCCAAGAAAACTTTGTCTTTTGACCAGAGAGAAAAGTAGAGTTTTAACCTTATACCAACCAGTGTACTTTTTGAATTCCATTCATCTCAACCTTCCTGAGCACACGTAGAATTCCTTTTCAAAGACTTCCCTTCACAGACCTTCTACACCTTTTCTTTACCTTTAAACTTCGTCCCAAAACCATTTCTTTTTAAGCAACCAGTCTTATTTAGGACAAAATTACTTTCTTTTACCCTCAAAAAAATGTATTTTCATTTCTTACATCTTTTTTATGTATCTCTCAGTTTCCTATATACAGGATTGCTTTCCTTATTTTCCATTAGTCGTAAGTATACACTTAATAGAATTTTAACTTAGGAAACCTTAGTCTCCAATTGAGGACTTAGTAACCAATTGAGAGGTGTTTACACTAGAATTTTTGAACCAACCTCCAGTGGGCCCACGAACCAATTAAGCATAAACCATCTTTTTCGAAAGGTCCAAATAGTTTTACTTTTTCTGCAATAGAAGCTGAAAACTCAAACCTATGTTTAGTAATCATGCATTCTATCTGGATAGAGGGCATACAATTTAAGCCAGACATGTTTATGGGCCCACCGGACTTTTCTGAAGTCATCCCGTAGGCGCTAATCTTCAAACTCGTTAATCACCTGTGCTTGGAGTTTGGGAATGATGGGAGGGGTCATCCCAAACATGATTTCAAAAGGAGTTAATCCCATCTGGTAGGGGAGTTGTACACCCGATAGTGTGCAAAGGGGAGGAGAGCCACCCAGTCTCCGCCAGCCTCCAAGGTCAATTTAGTTAAGGTCTCTTTTAGGGTTCTATTCATTTTTTATCTGCCCTGAACTCTGGGGTCTGTATGCACAATGTAATTTCCAATTAATCCCCAGGGCCGTGGCTAAATTCTGGCTGACCTTGGACACAAATGCAGGTCTGTTGTCTGACCCTATCATCTGAGGAAAACCATCCCTGTCTTCTAGGAGTTTCTTGGCCATGATCTGGGAAGTTTCATGTTTGGTTGGGAATGCTCGGTGGGCCGTGTTTCCTTAGCCCTTTGGTAGGTGTCCCTCTTCATCAAGGGCCGTTATGCCAAGCGAGTTGGCGCCGGCACCCTGGTGCACCTGGTGTCCGTGCTGGAACATCCCACCATGGAGATTCCAGAGCTGGCGGGCAACGGCCCATGACAACAAGATGCGGATCATCCCCCGCTACCTGCAGCTGGCCATCCGCAACGACAAGGAGCTCAACAAGCTGCTGGGCGGCGTTATGATCGCCCAGGGAGGCGTCCTGCCCAACATCCAGGCCGTGCTGCCACCCAAGAAGAACAGCGCCACCGTGGGGCCGAAGGCGCCCATGGGCAACAAGAAGGCCACCTAGGCCTCCCAGGAGTACTGAGGGGCGCCCGCACCACAGCCGGCCCCCCTTGCCAACGTCTTAGCCCTCGTTGACGGGAATTGCTGGAGCCAACGTTGAATCCCTGCATCTGGTGTCAGCGGCGTCTCATGCAGGCGATGTTCATCCGCCAGCCCTAAAGTGAGCACATGTATTGGCTGCCCAGCCTGGTCTAATACCCTAGTACCTTCGGCTGAAAAATGAATCTGAGCTCCCAGCTTGGTCAGCAGATCGCGGCCTAGCAAGGGGTAGGGGCAGTCTGGGATGACCATAAAGGAGTGGGGTACCCGGCCCACACCAAGGTCCACCGTTCTTCGGGTTGTCCGTGGATACTGTTTTCATCCCTGTGGCTTCCTGGACCCAGGATGTCTTGTTTGCCCGGGGGCCAGCAGGTTGTAGGAGCACAGAATGTTGAGCCCCCAGTGTCCACTAGGAACTCGGTGGGCTTCCCCTCCATTTTTAGTTACCCTGGGTTTGGGGAGGGGTGCCGAACCCCGTCTCCCCTAGTCACTGTCATCTCCCGTTACTAGAATGGGAGCTTTCGATTTTCTCTTGGGACACTCCCTGGACCAATGCCCTTCTTCTGTACAGTAGGCACATTGGTTTTTGCCCAGGCGGGGGCGTCCTTTAACCCGTTGGGAGTGTTTCTTACCTTCTCCTGAAGCCAGCTGTTTGAGGTGTCTTTTTCGGTCCTCTGGTTCAGCAGTCGCCACAAGCAGGATCTTGGCTAGACTTTGGTTTTGTCTTTTTTCAGCTCTTATCTGCTTATCCTCTGCACTTTCCCTATTACTGTACACCCTTTCTGCCACGACCACTAGATCTTGGAGGCTTTTTTCTCCTAGACGATCTAATCTCTGAAGTTTTCTCCGAATATCAGGAGCAGACTGATTGATAAAAGCCATGGCCACCGCAGCCAAGCTTGCCTGAGCCTCAGGGTCCATAGGGGTGTACTGACGGAATGCCTCCATTATTCTCTCAAGGAGTGCTGCAGGGCTTTCCTCAGGTCCCTGACTGACATTATATACCTTAGCCATATTAGCTGGCTTGCGGGCCACAGCCTTGAGACCTGCCAACAGAGTCTGGCGGTAGACCAAGAGACTCTCCTTACCTTCAGCTGTGTTGTAGTCCCAATTTGGCCGAGCTAGGGGAAAACCGGCATCAATTCGAGCTTGGTCCGTAGTGGGAACTCCAGTGGGCCCAGCAACCAGTTTCCTGGCTTCCAACTGGATCCTTTCCCACTCCTCAGTAGTAAACAGTACCTGTAACAATTGCTGGCAATCATCCCAAGTGGGCTGATGAGTGAACAGAACAGTTTCTAATAGATTAATAAGGGCGAGGGAATTCTCCGAGAATGGAGCGTTTTGAAACCTCCAATTGTATAGGTCGCTTGTGGCGAAGGGCCAGTAATGGTGGGGCTGATTTCCCCTATCATCGGGGGGGCCTGTAGCTCTCAGGGACAGGACAGTTGAGTCCGGTCCCTCAGGCGTTATTCCATGGCGGCGGCGGGGCCCATTCCCGCCGTTCAGAAGGCCGCCGTGGTGGGCGGGACAGAGGGCGCCGGTGGTTCCTGCAACAGCACTCTTGCCCCTCCTGCTGAGCCCTGTGGAGGGGATAGACAAGGAGGGGGGAAAATGGATTCTTGCCCTGTTCCGCCCTGCAAGATAGGGTAGATAGTTTCCTTTTTTGTGTGTTTCGGCAGCCCGGGAGGGCGGGCACTTTTCAGCTATCGCCAGGATCTCAGGTTTCTGTGGAGGCAAGACTCTTTTAAGCCAAGGGGGTGGGTCATCAACCAGATCAGCCCAAACCACAATGTATGGGACTTGGTCTGCATGTCCCCTTCGGGGTCGGAAAATCTGAGCCTCGACCTTCCGAATGGTGTCGCGGTCGAAGGTCCCCTCCGGTGGCCATCCCACATTGAGAGTAGGCCACTCTGAGCTGCAGTAAGTTTGAAATGGGCCTTTCCTGACAATCACCAAGAGGTTATGAGTTCGTTTTTTAACCTCTCCAAAATGGGCTAACATTAAGTCTAGGGGTTTGGATGAAGTCTGTCCCATAGCGTCAGTCTCAGTCACAAGGTAATAGACACCAACAGAGAAAATCGACAACCACAGAGAGACACAGACACAGAAAAATAAGACGCCGGCCTTGCACCGGTTTCACGGTAGCGACCCGCTCCTTCCTTTACCAAGTTCTGTTACCGATGGGGCCTCGAACCCCATTACCCATGGGGCCTCAAACCCCGTTACCGATGGGGGCCTGGAACGTCTTCACAGGATCCCCCGTGGTCACTGTCCCGTGGCGCGTCCACCTGACCGTAATTGACCACTTCCCAATACCGATACACCCCGGGACCAGAACATACGACAGACAGGAAGAGTTAGACAAAGAGACAAGTACACTTACCAGCTGGCGGTAGGCCCCACGTGTCGGGGGTCCTTGGGAGTCTGGGGGAGAAATCCCGGAGAGCCCGCAAATGTTATGCCCAGATCACCATCTCCCCAAAATCCCAAGACCACCAAGGAGTCCGAGTCACGTATGCAAAGGCAAAGGGCTTTATTACAGGCTTAAGCTCGGGCTCCCAGACCTCACCAACGCAATGGATCCATGCTGAGAGCCTCGAACAGGGCAGAGTAGGGTTTTTATGGAGTTTGTGACGGGGGAGTTATAGAAGTTGTGACATGGGAACAGTGATCCAATCATAATTATACAACATCATTGACAGCGGGTTTGACCATACACATTGTCTAGGGTATTCGTTACTTTTGGCGGGATCCAATTACAACATTTAGAATACCTTCAAATTCAACCAATCACAGAGCGAGCCTAGGGTCTTACTCGGTGACTAACGGGTTAACTTTAACATTAAGTGACAGGGTCCTACCTATAGTTTCTATCTCAAGACCTCTCCCTTAACAACGTGGAGGGTGGTCGCTGGCCTTTCCTGATTGGGTGTTGCAAGGGTGGTTACTCCTGCTTTGGGCAATGTATAACTGCCTGATAGTTTCGGGGAAGCCGAAACTCAGGCCTTCTAGTTTAGAGGGGAAACTTAAAGCCTGTCATGGAGTCAGTTTGGTTTAGACGTTTAGACTTGTGTCCTTACAGTACTTGGGCTGGTATACAGTAAGGCCTATAAAAATATATGTTTTTTACAGCAGCCCTTGCTTACCCTGAATGCCAGTGAAGCTTGAAAGCCTTAACAGCTTAGTGGAATTTTTAGGTAGCCCATCCTCCTCAACCCACTGAATATATTCCTATGAATATATTCCCTGACTATGGGGTAGTCAGGCCAAACACCAAGATCCCTCCTTCCCAAGATTTTCCCTGCCCTTGAGGCAACTAAAAGTTTACAGCTAATTATTTATATTGTAAATTCAAACAACAAGGAAAGAGGAATAGAATCAGCTGAACGTTGTAACATATTTTGAGTTGGCTCTGGTTCTCCTACTCTGGAACTATTTTTTATCTAAGTATTTTTTGTGTCTAAATATTTATCAAATCACCACTCAGTCTCTCTGGTCTTCAATGTTCTCACTTCTACAATCAAAGGATTGTACTCAGAAATCTCTCATGTCCCTTCCCCATGTAAAATTCTGAAGCTGTAGCATTGTATCCACATGATAGATGGCATTTGGGTGTGGTATGGTCTGAGAGAGGGAATCTTCATTGCTATTTCAATCAAGTCCATAGTTCAAATACCATTCACTGTTGGTGGCAGCTGCCTAAACTGTGGGGCTCCACGAATCCTGTAACTTGTTATTATGGAGAAAAAGGACAAACATAAATTGGAATGTTTACAATGGTATGTATTTCTCTGACTAATTTATAACTCCCAAACTACTTTGAAATAACAGAATTTTATAGCTTTGAAAGTTTCCAAAATCCCTACAAACCCCAAGCATAAGTTTTTAAGTTTAAATGAGGAAATACTTTTGTAAAAGTTCATCACACAATTAGTACATCTTACAAATGCAAGATGTGATCATGTGTAAAATCAATCTAGTCATAATATTTTAACAGAAGAACTTTATAACAATTCATAGAGATGAAAACCTCTGATTATTTAGCAAGCATATAGAAGTCCTTGATTCTAAACTGACTTCAAAGCATTTCTACATGATAAGATGTCCAAGTAAGATTTCACGTATATGAAATCATACCAGTTGCTAGGGGGATAGGCAGCTTTACTTTGATGGTTTTGAGTTTCCACATTTGCTTTCAGCTCCTCTGCCAGAGACACATACTTTTTTACTCCCCCTCCCCTGCTTCCAGATCAATTTCTATGATATTTTTAATGGCAAAGCATTTTTTCCTACTGCCTTTTTATTCTTATCAGATAGTGGATTGACTAATCTGTTGGAAAAATTTGTTCATCCATTATTATGGCTCTTGGTTTATCATGTAGTGGTTAATTCTATAGTATTCTTTAAAATATGGCTTGGGTTCATCTTTGTAGTAATATAGTGATCCATTTACCAACACATATTTGAAGGATGAGTTTTGGTGCAAAGTAGTACAAAGCTTCATTTATCATGCCTGGCGTAATGTTTACCACATTAGGACATCTCCCCACACACTCTGCAGCATCCATCTGGATATGTTTTTTTAATATATTTCCTGGTCATATATTCATTATTTCACTGATCACCTCAATGGATTTCCAGGTTTATTATTAACTAGACTTTTCATGATCATATGTGTAATTATTTTAAAAATTTTATATTTCAGTTTAATGCAGTTAAATTCATTCTTTTACATTTTCATTAATGCATAGAATCACATAACCACCCCAACAATCAAGATGTAGAACAGATTCAGGGGCTCCTGGGTGGCTCAGTTGGTTAAGCATCCGACTTCGCCTCAGGTCATGATCTCGCAGTTCATGAGTTTGAGCCCTGCTTCTGACACTAAGGGCCTGGAGTCTGCTTCAGATTCTTTGTCTCCCTCTCTCTCTGCCCCTCCCTTGCTTATGTTCTGTCTATCTATCTCAAAAATAAATAAATACATTTAGGAGATTAAAACAAAATAAAATAAGTAAAACTATGCAGAACAGTTCCATAACCCCAAAACTTGCCTCATGCAGCCCCTTTGCAGTCAGCCCTGCAAACTCTAACCTCTGACAACTACTGATCTGTTCTCTACCCATAGAGTTACCTTTTGCAAAATGTCATACAAATAGAATCATACAGATGGATGGATGTAGGCTTTTGGATCTGGCTTCTTTCACTTAGAATAATGTGTTTGAGAGTCATCAGTGCTGTTATCAATACTTTCTTTTTGTTGCTGAGTAGAATTCCATATATATATTCCATGCATATGTGTGTGTGTATGTGTGTGTACATATATAATATTTCAATTTTGAGCAAATTGTTATGTAAAGTGTCAGGTATTGATCAAATTTATGTTTCACATGATCCAGTTGTTCAGCATAATTTTTTGAAAAGACTAACCATTTTCTGTTGTATTGTCTTTGTATCATTTTTAAAAATCAATTGACCATATTTTTGAGGGTTTAATTCTGGACTGTATTGTGTTCTGTTGATCTATGTGTCTATCCTTTTGCCAAAACCACATTGTCATGATTATTGTAGATTTATAGTGTCTGTTTTTTTAAGCTTAATTATTTATTTTGAGAGAAAGAAAGAGGCAGAGAGAGAGAGAGCGTGTGTGCACACAAGCGAGAGAGGGTCAGAGAGCAGGAGGGACAGAATCCCAAGCAGGCTCTGTGCCACCAGTGCAGACCCCTATGTGGGGCTTGAACTTGCAAACCATGAGCTCTTGGCCAGAGCCAAGATCAAGACTCAGACATTTAAGCGACTGAGCCACCCAGGTTCCCCTGTAATAAGTCCTGATATCAAATAATGTGAGTATTCTAGCTACTTTTTCAAAATTGTTTTGGCTATTCTAGTCCTCTGTTTTTACATATAAATTCTAGAGTCAGTTTGTTGATGTCTACAAGAAATTCTGCTGAGATTATGATTGGTATTGGAGTGAATCTATTGATCAACTTGGTAAAAATTGACATTAACATTTGTGATTATTTTGGGATACAACTATCTGCTTCTAAATTTCTGTAAGAGATCCTTCACTTCTACTAAATATAACATGACATCGTCTTATCTTGGCTAACCTAATAACAGATATTTAAAATGAAGTTCTTTCTATATCTGTTGAGTTGTTTCCAGGTGATTTTAACTATATTAGATTATTCTCTGATGTGAGGTTTTAGTAACACAAGGCTGTGGTCATTTTTATTATTTTAACTATATTATTATTATTAAAGGCTAATGATTCTTCTTTGATTTTGGAACTATTTAGATCTTTACATGAGCTAAAGTCTTTTGTTTATTTATTGATTAGTTGATTATGGTAAAATATTTGTAACATAAAATTTACCATTTCAATTATTTTAGGTATACTGCTTAGTGGCATTAACTACATTCATATTGTTGTGCAATCATTACTACCATTCATCTCCAAAACTTTTTTCATTTTCTCAAATGGAAGCTATTATTTAAATTACTTTTTAATGACTCCCCATTCCCTCTGCTCTCTAGCTTTTAGCAACTAACACTCCACTTTTTGTCTCTATGAATTTGACTACTATAGGTTCATTCAATAAGAATCATAAAGTATTCTTAAAAGTATGTAAGAAATATATTAGATTTTAGATGTTAGAGGACAATAGTGTGGCTAGTAGGGAGAGTCAGGAAGAACCCAGTTAGAGAAAATATATTTCAACAAATAATTTCTAACTCTCCTTGTACTTACATTAGTGCTAAAACTATAGAACATCATGTTCACAGCATCATTATTTGCTTTCTAAAATTCTGTTGCTGGAGATATATTCAGAATATAGATTTAAATTTTTTATTTTATTTACTTGGAAAAGGAAAATCTGAAATTCCAAATTCTTTAGCTCTGGAAACAGATTTGCACCAGCTTTTTAAAAAGTTATTAATTCCATTTTATGGCTTCATCCAGAATTTATCATAACCCTGTTTTAAAACTTCTATGAGAAGCAAATACAAGATACAAACACTACAAAGAATTAAATGTTTATTAAGCAGCTAGTATTTGTCAGTCAT